TGAAACTACTATGAGGTTAAATTGAATGTAAAAAGCGCTTCATTTTCTACAGATAACGGCCAAACAACAATATTGTCCATTTTTTACTGTGTTTCTAACCATAAAAACTTCATCCCAAAATATCTCGATAACGCTCTTACAGATTTCGCTTAAACTTTACGAACATCGAGGCCGCTATTGGAGGAAAACGCTCCCGTGAACGATTTTGGAAGAACAGTTCTCAGTGCTGAGATATACTGCTGCAAGTAAAATAGGTAATAGCGTCATTTCGTTGCTATGACAACTCCGATGCCGTTGCAACCCTGATCATAACAAATTCTCATCTTTATCTAATACAGCTGTGGTGGCAATTTTTCCAAAACTTTGTTTATGGCGACGTAGTTTATGCTCAAATTTGGGAGGTATTGGCCTTGAAAAACTGTATCGAGCCACCTTAATTGTAGTGTAGGATGATATACGCTCATCTTTAGGAGAACAGACAGACAGATGACATGTTTCGTGTATTTACATCGAAAGCAAGAACTGAGTGAGATTTGCACCGAGTTTCTCGCCTTTTATAGGTGCCAGTAGCCACCGAAACACTTTCGGCAGATTGATTCACGGTCAGTAGATGAGAAGATTACTTAGACCAAAGGAAGTTCTCCTTGAATAAAAAAAAATAATAATAACAATTGCAATCCGTATTTTGGAGTAAAATAGCTTCGTATAGTCCGCTGTGACAGATGAAAAACCTAGAGCGTCTTCCGTGAAACAACAAAACCCATTTGTTTTAACGTGGGGTAGAGCTTTCCGCTGGATAAATCACTATTATGGGTTAGGGAAACCAAACGCCCTATCTACTGGATACCTTTATCCACTTTTGAGCAACTGGGGCCTACTTTAGAAAGGAAAACATACAACAAGACATAAGTTGTACTTGTAAAAACTGAAGGAACCCTTTCGTCTTGTTCTTTTTTCTACCCACACTTTTTTTTCTTTATTCATTATTAAATAAAAACATGAGGAAAAGGTTAAGATCAGTTTAATGCCTGTATTTGCAAACATGCTGTAATACCCTAATTGTGAGTTTTACTAGTCTTTTAGTTTTCAAAGCTTTTAGCGATTTTATTAGGGCAACCAACTATTTTTCTTTTATAAAATAACCTTTCAAGTAAATAAATACTGGCTACAAATTTCTGTTGAAAAAAGCTCACAATGTCACCGTTCATTCCTCCAAGATATTCAGAGTGTTTCTACTAAGTAATGATCATCATACGTTGCGCTTTTCACGTTTTATTAGGAAGATACTACGTTTAGTATAGCCTCAAATTTCCCTAAATTACAAAAAAACAAAACACACCCTAAACTTTATTTTTGGTAGTATGCCTCCTTCCTGACCTCGAACTTGCCGCCAAACCCAGGACACCAAACAAATTGGGTGCCAATTCAGTTTACATGTCGCGATGACTATTTAGCGACAAATTATTTCAATGATTTAAAAAGATTTCAAATAAAACAATATATAAATCAAGAATGCATATTTCAGTCTGTATAAAACAAGCAAAATAACAAAAAGAAACTGTTAACACTATATCCACGCAATCGCTACGCTCACTCGCTCTTTATCTAATACTTCGGCTCAGTAAACGCTACCTAGATCACTTCCTATAAAGTCTTAACATGAAAATAATACAAGTGGAAAACGTATATCCCTTTCCACAACAAAACACTCAAAAAATGCTTCCTTCAATAGTGCTTTCTTTCACATATCTTCACCATCTGTAAAAAGAGGAATAAATTCAACAAATCATAAAAATCAAGAAGCTAACATCAAAACCCCCAAATTATCCCTCATCCTATACACAGCACACCCCAAAGCAAGTTGTAAGCAGAGAATTCAAGGTTAAATCACCCACCCTGACTTCCTCCACCCCCCCAGCCTAGCACGTGCTTGAGGGGAATGCTTTCATTGGCCAATGGACCTCAAACATTACAAGAATTTGACATGACACACTAAAGGCAGACATGACCAGTGCACTGACTCTCCCAGAGCAAGACTATCGGAAGGTACCACGCTTTTGCAGCACCCTCCGCCCCTAGGGATTGACATGGAGGCCCCTTTCCAGCCCATGGCGAGTTAGCTCAGCGACTTGAGGTTGACAATGAGTCCAACCAGGACAGCAAGCCCCCTATGTTTTTTCTCACCGCAGTGACCAGAAACCTGGCTATCGCCAGGTTCCTGTGTGAATATTCTGGCCTGTTTTGAGGTATGTTTTCAAAAATTCGGCTAGATATATTTCGTACATTTCACAGAAAAGTAGATAATTAATGGAAAATAAGTGACAACAGAGGAGTTGATGACAAGAAAATCAACTTGTATGTCTTTCTTGATTCAAGTAGCCAATCGTGACGTTTGTGAATTTCATTTTCCATGCAGGGTTTTTACACGCCCTTTGAGTTCAGAGGAGCAGGCATACATTACGTTTTTGGCGGACGAGAGGGACGTCTCCGTCAAGGAGATTAGCCAGAAAACGGGAATTTCACCCGCTACGATTCGACCAACAAATAACACATGAAACTTTTGCTGAATTTTCAGGGCGCGTGACCCATACTTTGAACAATTTTCCCATCGCCGAAATAGATAAAACAGTCAAAGTCAATAAACAAGCGCTTGCCATTAATAACAGCATCAAATGGAGAGAGGATAAAATATTAACAAAACTTGTATTTTTACTTTCCAAATTTGAAAGCTTACTGTTGACATTTTATCGATGTCCAGTGCAAAAAAAACACTATGAAATCTAGAAATGTCACGCGCGGTAACGTGACAAGATGTACTATCTTGTTATCTGTAAGAGTGCATGTTTTGCCCTGGGGCTATTTATAGCTACATATGATTGGAAGAAACTATGAGATAAATTCATCATTTGTAAAGCAAGAGATAGTAAAAATTGCCACAGTTGTCTTCTAATCTCTTTCTCTCCACAATATCTAAGATTCGGAACGATAAACAGGACATTTTGAAGGTGCTACCAAGATTAGCAACGGTTAACAACGATTAACGAGGACGTTTCATAAGAATCAGAAGGTCATTTACTTTTGAAAACGAAATGGTGTTAACCGTTTCAATGCTTTGTTAATCGTAACATTATTCTATCCATGGAATTATCATAAAAAGTTAACTGACTTGTAGCAAACGAGGTTTCTGTAACCCTCATAGCTCAGCCAATTTTAAGATCTGAGAAGCAGTTTCCACATGACGGGATACGTTTCCATATTGGCTTCACTATACGTCACTAAATAAACACTACGAACTTCTTTTCTTCTAAGAAAACCGTCATCCAAGTCTTGTTCTGAATCTTCTGAAAATTATAAATCACTTTCCACACTTTCCAAGCCTGCCAGGTTTGAACAACACTAAAACAATTTACATGTAACAATGAGCACCCGTTCTACGGCTACTGCAAAATCTTACTGTTTCAAGAGGGTGCAGCAAAAAACGTATATGAGGTCGTACTTTTCTATGAGAAGATGGTGTGCCGAGAAACTTTTTGCTCAAAACAGCTTCTGTAAAGTGCTTTTTAACTTTTCATAGTCGGAAGAACCGTATTCTCGCTAAATCTAAACTAAACCGGGTTGCCTCTCATCCTTCCTCTGTGACAAATTAGAATCTCTTCCTTAGAAGATACAAAGGACGAAACATCTGAAGACCTTACAAAGACCTGAGAAAGTCGCCATTTTACTCTCTGAGTACTCGTTTTTCTGAGATATAATAATATATACGCACGATCGTCGATATTGATGGGATCCCTAGTTCTAGTACACACAAGCGAGACATGCAGTGCTAAAGAGACACTCACGTTCCTATTGACCTTAGGAGATGTACTTGAGTGTAACAGGGTTCTTTATAAAGAATTCAAAAACTGTTTATCCGAGGTATGACTGTCACACGGTTATTTTTTAAAAGAACCCGTTCGTTGACGAATCACTGCTAATTACTCATTTGACACAACATTTTTGAGCAAAGATGACCCGCTGTTCTTCATGTTCCCTCTGAAAACTGTTTATGGCTTAGGCGATAACTTGGCTTTCTACTAAGTCCTCAACACATTATAGGCAATAAGTAAGAAAATCTAGGTACGAAGCTCATACTGACCCGATCTTCAAGGAGCAAAAGCTCTTGAAATGACAAGAAATCCACTTGTTTTAATTAGGCGTTTTTATGTTTTCACTCTTTTCAAAATTCAATAACGTTTTTTCAACGTTTTATTTTTTTTTATCGCCATGCAGAACCAATACCCGCACCGTTTACATTCAAGTTCTAAAGTTTTACAATTCTCTGAATGGATGGATGGATGGATGGATGGATGGAGGGAGGGAGGAAGGAAGGGAGGGAGGGACGGACGGACGGACGGACGGACGGACGAACGAACGAAAGACTGAATGAATGAATGAATGAATGAATGAATGAATCTCTCCTCCCTCGCTTTCTCAGGACCTCTTCAAATCGGGATCAAATGGAAAAAATGGCTGCCTGTGCCCCTGATTTTAAATATGCTTAATTGAGCAAAGTGGAAACCTTTCAACAGAAATGTAAAGGACTATCTTTGAGGACAAAATTCAGAAATTGTCTATGCTCAAACAAAAATTTCTAGTGTTTACAAGCGATTGTGCCGAGATACCGCGCAACATACTATACTGGATAAAGCGCAAAGTACTGCAAAACATAATTCTTCCTACTTACCAGGAATAACAGTGAATCTTGCTTTAAATCCACGGGCTGTTAGAGAATCATCAGTAACAAGACGTAGAATCAAGGTTTCGTTGTAAGAAGAAAAAGTCGAACTGCTGTTGAGTGAACCACATAAACGCTCAGGAAGCACACCACTACCATATATGACAGCATTTTGAATTTCTATATAGTCGTAGGGACAGTTAGTCCCACTTTCTATGTCCATGTCTTGAATGACCAACTTGACGCGATTTCCTGTACTTGCCATGATTTTCCAGTTGCAATTGTGGTTATTACCATAATTTCCCGGGTAAGAAGGACTCGTGATGATGCCTGAAGTCCCTGTCAGGATTGCCATATTTGGACACGACTCTGACAATTTAAGACAAGAGAATAATAACACGTTTCGTTTTGGAAAAGGTGAAACACTCGCCACGTCAAGCTCGTGGAAAAAAGAAAGAGATTTGACTTAATTCCCACAACAGCCATCGGGCGTTTTAATCATATCGTAGTCAATTTATCCTGGTATTAAAGGGGGTTTGTCTCGAGGATATTGTTGTTTTTAGGAATATTACGCGCTGAAGTCATTACTTAGTGTCTATACACTTAAACAAAATGCTCCTTTAGAGTTATTGAGAAGGTCCCAAACAAAATTTATGAGACAGCAGTAGCCATAATTATTTTTTGGTAATTTTTCGCATTGAAAGGTTGGCCATTTTTTCAAGTTTCAATCATCCTTACCTTCCATATTAACAGACGACAGGAAACGGTTGTAATGCCTAAATATAGTCTTATTCTTGGGATTCAATTGATTAGAAAACACGCTTTAGCTTTTTAAAAAGGTAGAAAATAGCGTGACATAGCCCCTTTAAATAACTTGGTACACACCGTAAGAAATACCTCCATGGAATGCCATCGATTTCCGTGGAAATATTTCCATGGCATTCCATGGGGGATAAGGACATCAATTTCAATGGAATTCAATGGAAAAGTTCCACGAAATTCCATGGAAACTACTTCCATGATCTCCATGGAGTTCTATGAAATTCACAGGAATTAGACCATGGAATCAGAATATCGCATTGAGTTACATATGTAAATGGAATATATGTATTTACAATTTTCCACAGATTTATAGGTGTCACCGCAAATTACTGGATAAGCTCACTTTTATTACATAGAAAACCGCTCAATCTCTTTTGAAAAGTTATGAATACAAATTACTTAATTAAACTCAATGAAATTAAAACTCATTCAGAACAACAAGTTGCTCAAACGTACATCGATAAATTTTTAGTGACTGACAGTTAGTCAGATTACGGACCTGACTCTTAACCGTTACAAGGTGCCTGTACTGAGTCTCTAGACAGCCAAGTCCAAGGAGCAACTACTCAGCCTCCCCACCCATGAAGCTTATGACTAGTCAATCACTTCCCCCAAGCTCTGCTAGAAGTGTTTCGGGCGAAGCCTTCCAGACTTTGAAAAGTGTTACTGGAAATCATGAACAGGAGATGAGTGGACCTTTGGACATGGACGGTGATTGAAGACTGACGCAAAAATAGATAATACAATAAAGAGTCCAAAGAAAGGCGTAGACTTAAGCGGGATAACTCAAAATGAAGTGAATGAAGAGCAAATGAAGACTGAATAAAGTAATGCCAATTGGTCACCTGTTCACCACACCCCATCACTCCGCCATAAAAAAAACGACACAAAACAAGCCAAATTTAACTAAAAGTAGTAATTGAAGAAGAAATAGGACTGTTATAGGTCGCTGATAAGCCGGTTCGTTTCTTTTTTGTTGTTTAGCCATAGGCCATTTGCACTAAGAGGTCATGTGACATCGTTTTTATGAAAATGAAAATTATATGATCTTGCCTTCGACAAACGATTAGAGGGTCATATCTTAAACAAAGTAATAGTAATTTGGTTTTTCAAACCCGCACCATTTTCTTAAAATCAGTAAGTTCGTAGCTAGTCACGTGACCAAAATGTCGTTTTTAAAATTATGAATTACCTCTTTCTGAACACAAATTTTGCACTTAAACTTCAAGGAAAATGTTGAAAAGATGATGTGGTAACGTTTACAGCACATCTGAGCGTACCTATCAAACGTTTAACAAGATATAAGCAAAAAGTAGTTTCAGCCGCCATGTTGGAGGGCAAGAGTATGCCCTCCAACATGGCGGCCAATACAAATCATACTACTTTGTTGAAAAATCAAAGTACCATAAAATATCTCCCTTAAATGCGTTTCCTCTCAAATTTCGGTTGTAAGATAATTTTTATGTGCTCTGTCAGTTTTGGGCATCAGCAAGATTCCAACTCATTGTTTAAAGGAAGCATTGGTCACGTGACCTCTTCGTGCAAGTGGCCTGTTTGGTAATTCATCATCTTGTGGACAAGGCAGCTACTAGTGCCAGTCCCTCCTGAGTGCTGAATTTTCAAGATGGTGTCGCTTTATTATTTTCTAGTTATATCCTATCGTTCAGCACTTTTTGCCCTTTCAAAATGTAACCTAGGCAGTATTTCGAGCTTTTTGATATTTCCTCCAGCTGCTGAACATACTTTACCGCGAAATATGAAAGAAGATTCACGAAGAGGACTTAAAACAAACACGAAGGGATCGGCCTGTTTGCAAGAAAAAGCTTGGAAACTATAACAAATGTGAGTTTTCTAATTTCTTCCCGTTTCAATGGCCCAAAATGATTATTAGTGTTTTGGTTACATGGATGATAGTAGACTGCAATTTGGCTGTCAGAGTTGTACTGTCGTTTTAGTTGTGCGCTGTAAATCAATTCAAAAATGCCCGATTTTTTGTTCATTTGCAGACAATGAGTTTAGGTCAGATAAAATAAGAAAATTTTAGTCTTGCCCGTGGTTGCTTAACAAATCTTATAATTTTAGAAAGTAGTTCTATGATGTGTTGTATCGCATGCAAAAAATAAACTTCGCTCGTTCAATTTTGCGGGTTCTGTAAGTTTCAGAAAATGGTGAAAATTTGCTTATAAAAATGGCGTCCGAGGGGGTCAAATAAAGTGATGCTCGTATCTCTAATACAAGGGCAGTGAAGAACCTATATTTGGTATATTTGTCCAATACTCCACCAGACCTATCTATGATGTTAGTATGAACTTATTCTGTTGACCCCCTTCCGTTGACATTCTTGCCCGGTTTTCTCTGACAACCACTCTTAAAGACCTATCATGTCGGTGTTCAGACACCGAAATGAGAGCAGCAATAAAAGCTACTGAAATAATGCTAATTTTAACACAAAATCAAACGTACAAACAGCCATGGCCCAGAATACAAGGCAGTTTAATTTTAGACTGCATAGCAAGCGTTTCCAGTCGAGTTACAGCGCGAAAGTTAGAGCGGGAGCAAAAAAAAATGGAAGGGGGAGGGGTAGGGGAGAAGACGAAACGCTTGCCCGCAAACCCCGCGATTCTGGAAAACGCCCCTTGATATTTCACGGTTCGGTTCATTTGTAAATTGACAGCTCGTCAAGATAGATAACGAATAGATCACCAGATTTGAGACATTTACTTTGCTCCCGAAAACACGCTCCACGCGATTGCAAAACTGTAATAAAAAGAAGCTTTACGATAAAAGAAGGTTGAAAGCGGAATTTCTTGTTCTTTATAGTTGAGTTAAAATTTTAACGTTATGTGACTTTATCTCATCTGAAACCTTGTCAAAACGTCGCAAAGAAATGATTTGTCCGGAACAATTCACTCCGCCGGCTATGAGTTTTGCAGAGCAGCTGCTCTCCACAGGCCAGCCAGTGTCGAAAAGTTCACTACAATACATGCTGCTCAATTTCCAATCACTTGTCCATGGCGGCTCTAGCTAATGTCGATGTTCTGATTTACGTTGATGTTATCTCCAACAAACAGTCCGTTGTCAGATACGCACGCCGTCATTCCCAATAAACTCAGGGCCTTCACTAGTCTCCAATGTTCGATCTCCAATTATACTATTGATCGAAGGGACTCAGATCTGTCAGTGATAAACCTTCGCACAAACATGATTCAAATAAATATCAGACCAAAGCATTTGTAATCTACGACCATAAATCAGATCAGACCAGATCAGCGACGCACGTAAACAAAACATACCTGGTTTGATTGGTGTATTGATTACTATTTAATCAACACTACCAGCGCCGCACCAATCAAAAGCTGCGTTCGTGGGCGAACGCAGTTTTTCAAAATCGTGTGGTTTGGGGGGAAGCGTTTCCTTCGCTCCCCTCTCCCTCCCCTCTCATTCCTTTTTTTTTTGCTCTCGTCCCAATTTTCTCGACGAACTCGCGCAGAAACGCTTGCTATGCAGGTTAGTTTAATTTTAAAGGCTGCACTGTTAATTTTGACTCTTAAACTCGACCTCGGCGGTCGGCAACAACGTTTTTCAACTTGGAATGTAACAATGTTGCGCAACAAGTTAAGCGAAAATGTTGCCTGTATTACTTGACCGTAAAGATCATGCCAAAACGTCATGTGCTTTTAACAAATTGAAACTTAAGGAATTCCACAAACCTTTCTCGTTTGTTTGTTTGTTTGTTTGTTTTTAAATAGCTATACACCAGAAAGGGGAAATAACCGCGATATCAATGATAACGATAATGACCATGATTATTGTTATTATCACCATTATTATTTCTTTTTTGTGTGTGTGTACTGGCTGATCTCATACCGTTGTACTTGCTAAAGGAGCGAGTAATGACCCATGAAAATGGACCCTTAGATTTCGACTCCTTACTCTAGAACTGACTAATACTTTTCTGAAAATCCTTTCTGTTCCTAGAAGAGTGGTTTTTTGGGGGCAATGAAATACTAATTCTTGTGTCCAACTTTCCAGCCACTTCTCCAAGTTCTTCGTCACACTTGCGAATGATCCTACTACAATCTGTATCACCTGCACAGTTCTCGTGTTCCACATCCTTGTAATGTCCCTTTAAGCTCCTGATATTTTTTAACGTTTTCAACAATTCTCTTATCCCCTGCTACAGCAATATCAACAATGGCGCACTCTCTCTCCTGTTTGTTTACAGCCACGATCATGTCTATTGTAGCATTGATGACATGATCACATTGGATGTTCCTTATCCCACAGTAGTTTAATTTTATCTTTTTTACTCACTTTGTCAGGTACGTGTTCGTACCACTTGTCCTTCTTTCCCAGATGATATTTCTCACATAACTTCCAACGAACCACTTTTGCAATATTTTCATGTCTGTTTTCATATTCCCTTCGAGCTAACTTTAAAGTTACACTTACAGACAATATGGTTTACACTCTCACCTTCTCGTCACATTACCTACATAAGCGGGATTCGCGCGGTAATGTCAACATAGTATCAGTTAGATGGTTGGTCCTCTGAGCCTGTTCCTGGCCTGCACAAATAACTGCTTCTGTTTGGATCTTCGAGTCTGCTTTTCGTAACCAGCTCCGGCCAAGTTTTCTCACATGTGTTGTTCCGGGTATTCCTCACAAAATTGAGCATGCAGCTTTTTTTCCTTCCAGCTGTCGAGTTTCAGCTCATTGTTCCAAGATGTCTTCAATCAGCTTAACTGACAGTTTCCTCCCTTACAATATACCTTACCCCTTACCCCTTGCAGTAAAACGCCCCAAGAATTCCTCACATACCACCCAAAACTGTTTTAATCACCTCTCACACACCCCTCACAGCTTATTAGTTCCCGACCTTCATCCTCCCTTGATACATACAAGCAATTAACATCTCTTTTTGAATGGAAAGCATCATTCAGTGTCAGCACCTTTCTAGTCATTGAATCCAATGTTTTCAGTTCTGCCTTTGCCCATCTTACCTGCTCCATACCTGATCAGCACTGACAGCTGCGCAGGTGTTAATCGCTATAACCTTATTCTTTCAATTCAATCTTGATTTCAACATAAGTTTCAGCCTTCTTTTTTACTTTCTTTTCCATCTCCTTTTCGTTTATTACATCCGCCTCAATAATCCCCAAATATTTATACCTTCTTCACCGCTTTCTCCCATTGTCCGCCCATGCAAAAGAGTTATACCCTCAAACCTTACTTTCTTTCCCCTTGTCACTACCAACACAGTAGTGACAGAGGGATGAAATTAAACCCCGTTGGTGTCGAGTAAGTATCTAGTAAGGTTGAGGTAAATCATTGATATGAAAAAGGGTCGAGTACATGACGTCACCGATTGTTTTAACCTAGGAAAAAAGTGGGTTCCTTCATACTGATAAGTGTCTTCCTCCATATCTAATGAGTGTCTCTCTTATACAATAAAACAACAGGCTTACCTAGAATTGCCCGGTCTCTTTTAACCCTGATAATTGGCTCATGTAGAGACTATTATGCGTTCAAAATGAAAGAGCTCAGTTGTTGAACAAGCTATTGTTACTGAGTGTAACTGAAAAATCTTTAATCATTTCTTTAAATTATCATGACTAAACACAGGATTTAAACAAAACTCAAGTCCAAAATTCAGGTATTCAATCTCGAGGAGAGGACTAACTCTAAGCGCTTGGTGAGCTTATGGTCTTGTCATTTTCAAGCGCCGTTAGTCAGTTAATTATGCGAGTTAACAAGCCGACATTTGCATATAAATTGGCTCAGCTCTACAGTAAAAAACCCTAGAGAGAACCTTGACATATTATTATAAAAACAACAAGAACAAGAAAAACAGTTAATAACTTAACAATAGAAATGTGTGGTGATGGTGGTGGTGGTGGAGGGGGAGGAAAGCAATAGAAATGTGATTTCATTGCTTTCCTAACCTATATAAACGCGCAACATTCTACCTTTTTCTCAGTCTACATTCTGCTCCTGAGGAGTTGACATGAGTTGGTTCTGTTCCGTTTGCGAAAAAATCGTTTAGTAGAAAGGATAGCATGTAAAGGCACGCGATGTTTAAACACCGCAATGCTGGTCTCACCCTATTTCAAACAGTTCTGATGTCTTCACAGAAATGTCAGCGGTTTCGCTTTGAGCATCCTTTCACCTCCATAACTGCTGGAATGACCAAGTCCGGAAAAGCGGCCTGGGTTCTATCTCTATTACATCAAGCTTAAGAGGCAATTTACCTTCCCCCAGAGAGGATCGCTTGGTGTTATTCACAATGGCAGCCTACGTATACAGAAATGCTAGTCGCTATGCCACACATTGAATTTATCAAGGGAATTCCTACGGCTTTGGAGCAGGATTTCTATTTTGATGTGAACAAACAGAATCTGATCGTGTTTGATGATCAGATGATTGACGCCAGTAAAGACAAGCGAATTGTGAACCTCTTTACTCGTGATTCTCATCATCGAAATCTCAGCGAGATTTATATCGTGCAGAATTCTATTTCATCAGGGGAAGGGACGTCGCAGCATAAGCCTAAACAGTCATTATTTGGTGCTATTCAAGAATTTAATAATTGTTTTCTTGTGTTTTTATAATAATAAGTGAAGGTTCTCCCTTGGGGTTTTTACTGTGGAGCCGTTTTGTATACAAATGTTGGCTTTTTTACTCGCATATAATTAACTGACTAACGGCGCGTGAAAATAACAAGACCATAAGCTCACCAAGCGCTGAGACTCAGCGGTTTTGTTATGGCCAGTCAGAATTGAAATAAAGAGTTCTCAGCTCCACTTTCTGTGTGCGTGTGTTTTGTTCATATATCCGATTTTTAGCACTTAATTATAATAGAAAACATATTAAACCGTTTCTCGTGTTGCTAGGTGATCGCTTCTCTTGTTCTTATTCTTTTAATAGGTCGTTCCGGATCAAGTTACTTACCGGGTAATTCTAGACAAGCCTGTTCCTATTGTATAAGAGGAACGCTCATTAGATATGGAGGAAGACTGCACTTATCAGTATAGAGGAACCCACCTTTTTTCTAGGTTAAAACAATGGGTGAGGTCATGGACTCGAACCTTACGCATATCAATGATTTACCTAAACCTTAAACGACACTTACTCGACCCCAACAGGGCTTAAATTCATCCCTCTATCACTACTCAACACACTACACTTTTTCAATACAAATGCCATTCTAATATCCTCACTAAGCAACTGTACAGCTAGCACCAACGAATCTATTTGGTCTTCACTTTTCCCAAACGATTTTAATTCGTCCATAAGAAAGATGTTTAACCTTAAATCCTTCGCAAGATCATAACCTGTTGTTGTTTTTTCAACACCAATGTTCATGGAATCATGCAAAAAACAAGCAGCCCTGGAAAATGCCTCTTCTTCTAATTAATGACTTCCAATCTCTCGCCTGATGATGATAACTCTACTTCTATGTCTGCATACCATTAATAAAAAAAAGACCTTTTCACAGTTCTCATGATCAGCTATTTTAAACATCTCCAAACACTTAATTGACAATCCAGCTATGTGGTATCATGTCACATGCTTTCCGGTAATCACTCAAAGCCAACGCCAAAATGTTGATTGTTTCTCTCAAAGGGCCGTTTCTTGAAACTCTCAATAATTACCCGTATGGTCTGAATAAATTCGGCCCCTAAAACTACTGTTTACTTTTAGAAGTGATATAGTATGTAAAAAGTATAAAAGCCTGGTTAGTACACGTTAAGGAGGTTTGCTGGCAGGATTTTGCAAAGTAAACTGGTAGCGAACGCAAAAAATCCGGCCGGATTTTTCATTTTGGCCCTATTCCTTTAGACAGAGGGATAGTTCTCCGTAGCAACTACTACGCTTCAAAAGTGAACCACCTAAAGAAAACCGAGCCTAGCTAGTGGTGGAGTGCGGGCAAGTGGATCGCTGACATGGCTCTCGCTCCTGGCTCAGACCCTTTGTTTGCCAAGTCATCGACGTTCCGCTTTTCTGTCTGACCAAGAGATTGCCAGCCAAATCAACTCAGGATTCCTACAACCTATAGAGTCCTTCCAAAGGCTTGAATTCCTCCCGTCACACAGTGAGGATTTGTCACCGCTGACCCTATCCGAACCCGCCGTTTTATGCGCTCTAAAAAGGCTTAACCCTATGAAGACGGCAGGACTAGATGGGGTAGTATGGTGAAGGCGTACGCAGGCATCCTTGCTTGCCCAGTTACAGCTGTGCAAAACAGCAGTTTTGCGGAGCAGAGACGTCCGTTATCCTGGGAGATGGTGCCTGTCCCCAAGCTAAAACCTGTTATCGACATCAACAAATATCTTCGTCCGATCTCCCTAACCTCCGTGATACCTAAACTTGCACAGGACTTTGTCGTCGCTCGCCATTTCGGCCCTGCGGTTCTGAAGGTGATTGATCCAAATCAGTATGGTTGCATCCCAGCGCCCTCTACCCTACACGCCCTTACGTACATGCTACATGTACCTGGTTGCAAGCCACCGACGGGTCTGGGGCTGCTGTGAGAGTCGTCCCGTTTGATCACAGGAAGGCCTTCGATCTCAGCGACCACACCCTACTTGAGAGCAAAGTTTTCGGCCTATCTTTTCTTCGCGCTGTTACCCTCTGGATGGCCGACTTCTTATAACGCATAGACAACAACGCGTAAAGTTGACTAGAGACTCTTTTTATGAATGGGGCCCTGTGCCCACTGGTGTGCCTCAAGGATCCAAACTAGGCCTATCGTTATTTCTCAGGGGTTTCAGTGTGGACACATAGAAGCACATTTTGTACGTTGATGATGCTTTCCAGGGTGATTATGCATCGCGTTTACGGCAAACGGCAAACGTAAGCAAGTTTCCCCTTCAATAGTCGTTTCCTGTTCATTATAACTACACGAAAATCGGTAGATTCAGGCCAATTTTATCCATAAGAATTGTTTTAAGCTGTTTAATTTTATCTGCTCATTTCTCATTTTCAAAATTTCTCAACTTGAATCTCAAGTTTGCCGTTTGCGGTAAACGCGATGCTTAATCTCTCTACTATTGATGAGTTAGTCCCGCGAGGTGCACAGGGTGACATTCAAAGCGCAGTTAGTGCCGTCGAGGACTGGTCACGTGAGCAATGCATGCAACTAAACGCTGACAAATGCAAGGAGATGATCATCGACTTACACGTCTTCAGCCCTGTTGTGGTCGACGAGAAGGAACTAGCTGTTATAATAGTGCCAAACTTTTAGGTATAACACTGTCGCGTCGACTATTGTAACAGCCTGCTCCATGGCCTGCCAGCCTACCAGCTTAATAAGCTACAGGGGGTCCAAAATGCTGCCGCTAGAGGTTAATTTTCCAGGAATTTAAATACTGCCACGTAAGACCGTTGCTGTATAGTGCTAGTTAAATTCAAAATTGAATTTAAGATACTAACGTCAACGTAAAAGGCTATCACTGGCTTAGCACGTTTTTACCTCCAGGAACTTATTAATCTTAAAGAAGCATGTAAATACAATTTACTCTCCGATTGTGATGCACTGCTACTAAACCCAGTGAAATCAAGACTTCAACAACGTTAGGAGATCGATCTACAGCTGCTGCTGCTCCTCAACTGTGGAATTCATGGCCCTATGCAATTAAGAGTAGCCTCTCAGTAGCATCTTTTGAAAAGACACTCAAGACATCTTTATTTCAGAAAGCTTTTTTGTAATTTTATGTACTTTTTAATCTCGTTTTTAGTAAGTTTTATGTAGTTTTTTTTACCATTCAGTTAAGTAGACTAGGTAATTTTTATAATTTTAGTGTTGACATAATTGTTTTAACTCTTTTTGGTAGGTTCATCTTTATCAGGAGCCCATCAAATTTGATGGGCTCCTGTCTTTATGCAGTCCTAGTAATTTTTTTTGGAAGATTTTTATTTTTAAGTGCTGATGAAAAAAGCAATATTGATATCGGCGCTATATAAGCTTTATTATTATTGTTATTATTATTATTATTATTATTATTATTATTATTATTACTATTATTATTATGTCCATTCCTTGTAGACTCAGGCAGGATGTTCGGCCTGGTTTATAGTCCTTGGGAGCGGGTTACAACAAGTCACCACGGCTCCCAGGTCTCTCTTTTCCTTCTTCTTACAGGGACAGTACTTTCCTTAGTATCTTTGCTGTCCCCAACAATGCTGCGAATTTAGTGAAAAACCACTTTGGAACAGAGGAAATTGATTTGAAAGAGACGTTGTTACGAAATATCTGAGTGTTTCAATTAAGGAATTTGAAGTGTTACCTGTACAATTATCTTCTCCATTTTTAGAATAACCTTCCTTGCAAGCACATCCAAAGGATCCCATAGTGTTATAGCACAGTGAACTAGTGACGTCACAGTTGTGTTCTCCTGTGTGACACTCGTTTATGTCTGAAAATCAAGATTTAATGCTGAATTATCAAACTGAATCAGTTCTATTTCAGTTTTATATTCATTGAATGAGAGATAGCAATGCAATGTTTCCGAGACTGGTAGTCCACGAATGAATAAATCAGTTTTTAAAAGAAGGCAATTGCAAGGAACACTAACTCAATTGATGGCACTTATAACAACGGTAAAATGGCAGATAAAATCAGTGAAAAATGTTTGAGCAAAGTTTTACATGTTGCAAGTTGTTATTTTTGACGAATTATCCAGCTAAGAATAAGAAATAACTATTTTGGCGGCACCAAATACTACAGAACCTGGGTGTTAGCCAGGGGCAGTAGTTCATATTAAGTTCTTTCTTTTCCAATATTTTCTCCACTTTCTCAATTTTTCAGTGATGCAATTCTCTACATATGCGTTTTTTTCTTTTATTTTCTTTGTTTATTTGTTTGTTTATTTTTTTACCTTGTTTTCTACTTGTGCCTCCATGAAAACACATCTTAAATACTCTTAATTAATCTATAATGCCTCCTAGCTAGATTCGCTTTTTAGCTATAAGACGCTTGTACCTTACATTAAGTAGCATTGTCTTTTGGTAATGTCTTTTTTTCTGTGTGGTATAAATAAAGTTCTTTTCTTGTGTTGTCTTGTCTTGTCCATGCCGGGAGTATAAAAGGCTACGTATAAATATCGCCTGTACGTCATATCGGCTTTTGAAACAACCTTTCTTTGGTTTTCTTAATTTTTTTGATTATTTTAGGAGCGGCCTATTTCGATTAACTTATAAAGTCCCGTAGAAACGTCTTTGAGCTTGAGGCTTGGTTCCTATCCAGATTTTTCGCTCGCATTTTTTCCCTTCTTGGATTTTTGGGCAGGTTTTCTTTTCTGGCCTCTGTCTGACCGCATTTTTTTCTGTTGGCAGCTCAGCTCTGCCATTTTTCTGAATTTTATCACTTCTTATTTTATTTGTACGGTTAGCGCCGTTTTTCACCGGTTCCCTATCTTATGTATTTAGTCTTAATGTACGCTTAGAACAGCTGTACCGGGACCGCTCTTAAATGGCGACATAAGTCAATGACTGACGCAGTCAAATTGGCAATGCTACAGACCCCCAGCCACAATCGTAATAAACACCTGTTTACCTTAAATGCTGCACCCTAACCGTTTCTAACAGCCTAGCTGGCTATTGGCTTTCGTGCCTTGTCAGGTATATTAGTGAAGATGATCTCGTTATATCAAAGATGATCTCAAGTTTTTTCTGTTCCTAAGCCTTTGAGCTCGGTGTTTCCTGTCCCAGACGTATGTTGGTCACACTTTCTGTTTGCCCAGCCTAACTGGCACTATAGCCTGAGTATCAGGCCTTCCTATGGGGGAGGGGGAGGGGGAGAAGAGAAAGGAAGGTCTGACACAAAACCATTCAGCAAATCGTGTGACACATCCAAAATCTGGATGTGGCAGTGATTGGATAACACACAATACCCCCTGACGTCACCGACCGCAAGAGCGATCGGCAAGGAGACGGTCATTGAAATTTTTCATAGATCGATGTTTTTGATTTCTTACCGGTATGTGATACTTTTACAGACAGGGACGCAGAGAGGAATTCAAAAAGGCTTTAGAGGTCGCTCTCAAGTTCTTTTCTGGAATAAAAATAAAACCCGAGCAAGAATTGTGTTTTCAAGGCCTCGTAGTGTAAAGGAAAGATGTACTCGGAGTATGGAAAAGCCTCATATGCTTTCACAAGACCGGGACAAAGAAGACGATATCAGTGTTTCAGATATCTAAGTTCAGATTTACAACATCCCGCCGTTAAAAGGGTATTGTTACTGTAAATGAAAATAGAGCGGGGTAGCCATGTATTGAGGTAGCCGACAGCACAAATGCTTTTAAAAAGCTTGACTTTGTTTGTTGCGGTTACGATAGCGTACGTGATTGGAATTCGTTCGCTTCCTCTTCCAAAATTTTCTCACTGTTGAAATGTCTTAAGCTCAAGCGGGCGCCATCATATTTCGCCAACGGGATTGACCTTTGCTATAGGCTCTCACTTCTTTTTGAACTTGTAACAGCTTTCACGAGCTCTCTGTGAAGTGGTGGAATTTGCTGCTGCTTGATAATTTCTAGGCATAGGTGTTTCACCATCGCACCTTCCTATTTATTCTTGCAGCTCCTTTCAACCACCCGAGAATACGAGGGATAACAACAGCTTTTTAGCTGCCAGACAAGCGCCTGATTTAACTCTGTAAACAAAAACAATTTACAATTTTCCGGGCACACGTTTATTTACAAACAGAGCGTTGGCGATCTTACACTAGCGCGATTCCTAAAACATGTTATAATTCCTCATAAATGGCAGGTTTTCAGTACAAGTATTCGAAAACTCCTCATTGGAGGTTTCAGAAGAAAGCGAAATCGTAGCAACACAAGCACCGGAGCTTGGCCAGACATAGGGCCAGACCGTAAAGTGAGATTTATTTTAGGCGAGCTTTTTGACACGTGAAGCTGACAACCCAATGACCGGAAGTGATTTTGATTGGATGGTATCGAATCATGCTGTGTGGGGGTGGAAGGCTCCAGTAAAAGCATCTGTGTCAGGCGTTTCTCTCCTTCGCCTCTCTCCAGTTTTCGCTTCCATCTTTCCCCTTTTCCCCAGAAACGCCTGATACTCCAGTTTTCGCTTGCATCTTTCCCCTTTTCCCCAGAAACGCCTGATACTCAGGCTACTGGCACTAAGCCTGTGTGCTTTATTGGGGATACAGTTCGAGCTCGACCAGTTAAGTTGTAGCAGTTATTATTATTACTTTTTGTTAAAGCAAGAATACAAATGTTGCCTTTTTGCTGTATTAACATACGTACATTGCAGCGTTGGCTTTAAATATACTTTTTTGGCGGTTAAAATTATTTCCGTGGCTATTAATTTCTGTGGGAAAAATTAGAGGCCACAACTTTACACGTACCAAGGCCGAAACTCTTTTCGTAGATACAACCTGTGACATACCACTGACTGAATATGAAAACAGGTTTCTACCTTTCCATTTGGCTGTATTATTTTTGGCATGGAATAGCATATAACTTAAGATAAATTCCTGATCGTTTCAGCTCCATATTATGTTACCTGCACAGTTGTTGACGCCATCCCCAGTATATCCTGCTTTGCAAGTACACGTGAAGGAATGCTTGGTGTTGGTGCAGTATGCATCGTTGTGGCAGTTATGTAGTCCCGTTGTACACTCGTCTACAAATCAGCAAGTAAAAGTTAATTATAAAACGTTTCTCATGTAAGCACAAACAACTGATATCATGATCTCTTGATTAAAATTAATGGGAAAAACGTTGGTATAAATACTCCAAACAAAAAATATTACATTTAAAGGCCTGTTATCGTATGGTGTTGCTAGTCTATGTGGTTGCTATACAAGTGAAATTTGACCTTTGGTAATCAGTATTTTGGGGATACGAGAAAAGATTTGCACTATTTTTGAGAGAACAGTTGTCTCGCATGCGCACGCATAACAACCAGAAAAAAAACGCTGTTCACGAGAACAGTTTTTCCAACTAGAACGACATAAAGAAAATCCATAAAGTCATGATTTGAGGAAGGATTTCTCGGGGGTGAGGGTGAAATCCGTTTTGCATTTCGCGTTCGATTGCCAAATCTAAAACCCGGACTTTAACTTAAATCCGGGTTTCTCATGCAATCAAACGCACCCTAAGTTTCAATTGTCACCATGAATTGAAAAAGCTTGATCGAATTGAAAGGGGTTAATAACTTGAGAGAAAGGCTTCGAATTTGCATATAGTTTCATTATTTAAGGGAAAACGTTTCTCGTCATCCACAACCGTTTAATATAAGCCCCCAATTTTTCTAAAGTCTCAAGTTTGGTAACAGACCGATCACAATTTAGCACATCCTAAGTTTTCATTTAATAACAACGAAACAATTTTCCATAAGGGGTCGCTACAAATATTGTATTTTTGCCCACTTCTCACAAAATGGCTCATGGACTAGAAATCTTTTATCTAAATCGGTACCATTAAATTCCAAGTCGGAAAATTTTGTGCGTTTTTAGAAAAAAAAACTAGCATAAACATTTTCAGGAGCTTTCTCGTTTGCTCTTTTATTCTATAGATATTTAGTTCAACATATAGCTTTTCACCTCACGGAATTGGGGCTATTAATTATAAGCTTTCCGGAATAGGAGGAATTCAAACTGGTAAGAGTAGTGGAGAATAGCGAAATTGGCAGTGGATTTTTGCCCAAAATGTTTGTCTAAATCTCTCACAAGATTAGTCAGGATTTCCATAATAAGGTAGCAGTGTTCCAAGTTTTTTTAAGCTCCGCCGTCTGGTTGGCTTAGTCGTGAGAGTGCCGGTCTGCTGAGCGGGCGGTTGCGAGTTCAAACCCCGGCCGGACCAACACTCAGGTTCTTTAAATAACTGAGAAGAAAGTGCTGCCTTCGTAACGACATCTGAAAACGGTTAGACTTTGTTATCTTCTCGGATAAGGAATAAAAACCGTAGGTCCGACAGGACTTATCTGGTACTTGTGCGACCTAAAAGAACCCACACCACTGTATACTGGAAAGAGTATTGGACGTAAACCCCGGTCGGTGGTATGGCCAACCTTTTCTGGGCTAGATGGGTTATTTCCCTCAGGAGTCAAAATGGCTACCTATAGATAGTGTAAGTATAACTTCCTGGATTTGCTGCTTAACATTAAATGGGTTAAACTAAAAGGGTAAGTGGCTTTAGAAATGCAAACTCTGCATTGTTCCATGTAGAACACACTCAACTGTCCCAAAGGGTTAAACTATTCAAAAGGGCGTGCAATTCGCGCGGAAGGACTTGCTCATCCAAGGTTTTTAATATTATTATTTATTTTCATTTTTTAAGTTACCTGAGCACGTCATTTCAATTTCTCTGGCGATTTCTTCCATTAGTTCTCTGTTCCTTTCCCGCTCTTTAATAAACTCCTCTTCTTCTTTATTCATCGGAACGGGACAAACTGGAAAGCAGTCAATTAATACAGTCAATTCTTTCTAAGACAGATACCTTCTGGTCCCGTCCCGACTCTCCGTCTATTTAAGGGAGGTGTCCCGCTAATAGACAGTCAATGTAAGGTGGCGCCAATAATTACAAGAAAATAAAGCTGAACTCACTCGAGCTAAACACACATCTGTTACACTTGTGCAAAACAATATAAAAAAAACTGAACTATAATGTACCGAACTGTTTTTCGTTCCCCTTTCAGAATTCGAATTACCGGGGTTCTACTGTACATTAATTACTGTAAGTACTAAAAAATATGAAAATAAGTCATTATAGCGGTTTGTTTTTGATGTCACTATCTGAAGTTCCCATAAGGCTCAAACAGTTCAGCTAAAAGACCGAGAAGATGGCTGTTTTACAGGTTAAGAGATTATCTTCACTTGGCGTTTAGAAGATACGCGCTGTAGGAAGACGCGTATTGTATTTGGGTATGTAATTTGCTAGATAGTGGTGAAAAAGCGTTCAGTAAAAAGAAATGCAAAAAACGCGCGGGGGCTGGGGAGAGACAGGGCGGCGGAGCCTGTACGCATTTTTTTAACGGCCTGTTCCGGTATATCAGCTCCTGATATACCCTCTGATTGGTCAATTGTGACAGTTAACATCATCACCTCGTGGCGTGGTTATCAGTTTGTCATCACCAAGATAGCCAGCGCGAATCGTGCTTGTCAACTTGATGAATTCGCGTTGTATTGTGCTTTGGACGAGTGTTAACCTGAGATCAGGCGTTATTTTTTTTTCGGCATGATCTCAGGCTAGACGTAGCCTGAGTATCAGGCCTTCCTAAGGGGCTAGGGGAGAGGAGATTTTAGATGGGGGAGGGGGGAGGGGGAGAAGAGAAAGGAAGGCCTGACACAAAACCATTCAGCAAATCGTGTGACACATCCAGAATCTGGATGTGGCAGTGATTGGATAACAGACAATAAGCCCTGACGTCACCGACCGCAAGTAAACACGAGCAGAGTGTTTTAATTTCATGTGGTAATTTAATGGATAGAGACGCAGAGAGGAATTCAAAGAGGCTCTAGAGGGCGCTCTCAAGTTCTCTCCGGGAATAAAAATAAAACCCGAGCAAGAATTGTGTTTCAAAGCCTCGTAGTTCAAAGGAAAGATGTTCTCGGAGTATGGAAAAACCTCATATACCAGCTTCTGCCGAAACTATGTCCGAGTATTGGTTTCACAAGAACAGGACAAAGAAGACGATATCAGTGCTTCGGATGTCTAAGTTTTGCTTTACAACATCCTGTCACTGAAAGGGTATTGTTAGTGTAAATAAAATTAGAGCGAGGTAGCCATGTATTGAGAATAGCCGACAGCACCAAGGCTTTAGCTTGACTTTAGATTTTCCCTCGGACGATTTTCGGCCTGATCTACATCAGCTTTTTAGCTGCCAGACTCTCAGGAACTTGATTATTAATGAGCGCCGCTGTTGTAACTCTGTAAACAAAAGCAATTTACAGTTTTCTGGGCACACGTTTATTTACAAACAGAGCGTTGGCGATCTCACATTAGCAAAATTCCTAAATCATGTTATAATTCCTCAAAAACGGTAGGTTTTCCATTACAAGTACTCGAAAACTCCTCATTGGAGGTTTCAGAAAAAGCGAAATCGTAGCAATACAAGCACCGGAGCTTGGCCAGACAGTAAGGTGAGATTTATTTTAGGCGAGCTTTTTGACAGATGAAGCTGACAACCCAATGACCGGATGTGATTTTGATTGGATGGTATCGAATCATGCTGTGTGGGGGTGGAAGGCTCCAGTAAAAGCATCTGTGTCAGGCGTTTCTCTCCTTCAGCTCTCTCCCTTTTTCACTTCCATCCTTCCCCTTTTCCCCCAGAAACGCCCGATACTCAGGCTAGCTAGACGAGTGTCTGCGACTTGGCTCGCGGTAAAGATGTTTTCGCTATTATACTCACCGGTTTTGGCAAAAGTTTAATCTTTCAGCTATTCCCACGCTTGGCTAAAGCTGCTCTAACCTTAGAACCTTTAACCTTAGAGTGTCGACCAATTACTGACCGATACATCGGTCAAGTATCGACCAACTATCGGCGAAGTGTCGGCAAAGTGTCGGCAAAGTGTCGGCGAAGTGTCGGCGAAGTGTCGGCGAAGTGTCGGCAAAGTGTCGGCGAAGTGTCGGCGAAGTGTCGGCGAAGTGTCAGCGTAGTGTCGGCGAACGAAAAGCTATATCGGCCGAGACACATCTGGAACGACTATCGACCGTGTCTCGACCGAGTGTCGACCGACTATCGACCGACTATTGACCGCTATATCGACCGAGTATCGACCGAGTGTCGACCGAGTATCGACCGACTATCGACCGACTATCGACCGACTGTCGACCGACTATCGACCGAGTATCGACCGACTGTCGACCGACTATCGACCGACTGTCGACCGACTATCGACCGCTATATCGGCCGCTATATCGACCGATGTCTCGGTCGACATTACCCACAGTAAACAAGATCCGAAAGCTCTACGATAATAGTCGTTTCGCCGCTGATATCTATAATGCGAGATCAAGTGGAACACTGAATTTAAAAAGCTTGGACTTTCGGCCACATCTATTGGCATCAGTGAAGAGGGAGAGAAAGTCGAGAAGAAAGCGAGAGAAGGAATGTGCGAAATTGTTTTCGGTAGTCCGGAGTCCTGGCTGATCACAAAGTGGCAATAATATAACAAAACAGTCCAAAGACTGTTAAGCTTTAAAAAGCTATTACCAAGGGAGAAACTACGCGCTCCAGCCAAAAGACTCACACTATTATAAGAGAAACACTAAGCTGGAGTTTACTGAGTCACAATGCAATTCTCCCTTGTTGATGTAGCTTAAGTTTAAGCTGCACTTCATTCTTATAATTCTGGATCTGTAAATCACTATCCTTGATAATTTAACATTCTGCAAAGAAAACTAACGAGCTTGGGCCAGCGTGATACAACATTGCAGAAAAACATTACATTCACGGACTAAAGAAAATCACTTAGTTAGTCAGATCCAGAAGGTACTTTGGAGAAAATTAAAACCCTTATTCAGCCGCAATAAAAAGCTTTACGTTCAAAAGAGGTCAAGGAAAATGCTCTCTTATCAGAGGGCAAATCCTGCCGACCAGAAACAAAAGCCACAGTAAATCGATAGTGTGCCGTGACCTCTCAGTGTGAAACAAGCGACTAAAATCACATTTGCTCAGTGAAAATGCAGAACCTTCCAGAGCATAACCTACCCAACAGAGGAAAAAACTTACCGCCCCCCTTGATTGCTATAAAACCTGCAGCACTTTGAATGATCGAGTGCGAGATTCGCAGACGCCGTTAACGAATTCGTAGCCTGCGAACAGCGGATGTATTTCTGGTCGTCGCTTCGGCGGGTGAAACTAGAAACTAGAGCCGAAAAAACCGGGTGCTCTCACAGGATAACGAATTCGAAGACATGAATTTCCACACATTCGCACAAGGAGTTCGCGTCACGCGAAATGCTCGCGCGAGAAACTTGAGAATGATTGTAGCTGACTGAAGTGTTAACAGCTTTGACAGCCGAATCCAGGAGTGACAAAAATGGGCGGAAGAGGGTCGTTAAAGAAATGCTAACAGGCTCTCTCTCCCATTTTTCTCGCCGCCACCGCCCCCTTTCCCAAGTCGCGCGCGTCTTATTTTCGCTTTGCGCGTTTTAATACGTCCGCACTCCTGGTCCACACTATACTATCTGAGAGACTGGCTCAGGCTAGTAATTTGCTTACCCTAATTGCAATTTGTACCGTCATGTAGTGCACCTACATTTCCGTTTTGCGGTATTTTTCACTACCTAAAGCACTTCTCAATTGTCCGTTGATGGTTTCGAAAGTGTCGGTTGTCCGTCTTTGAGAGGTTCTGTCTTATAGAGAGCATAGTTGTAGTCAAAAGACTGGATAATGACAGGGGCCAACATCAGAGGATTGTCCGTCTAAAGAGGTGTTTGTTAAGGGCGAGCTGACTGTACAGCAAATTTCTTTGAAATCCATTAGAAAACAAACAATAGCGCAAAGCAATTCATGAACGGACACTGAACGAAAGAAATCTTGCCAAATGTTGATCGCGCATTTTTTGAGGAGAAAAAATTAAAAAATAATAATAAAACAAATATAATAAAGAAGTTGTTAACATATTCACCATTTTTACATCGCCCGTAAAACATCTTGTTTACCCCCCAAAAATTTTGCATCAATAAATTGCCTTCAATTTCTTTTATGATGACTGCTTTCTCCAAGGAGAAAGTGAAAACAATTCTCATGCAAATTTTATGGACGATGTGAAAATTATGGTGAATAAATCCTCGGAATGATGTTTCAGGGAAAGTGTAAAATTGAAAATTTTAAGCAGCTTTCTGTACATGAAGGAGAGACAGGATGTTAAAATAAAATGGCGACAATCCGCAGGTGCACAATTAAATTTTTAACCTGATATCAGGCTCTATTTTCGTTTCGCTTTGAAAATTACATTCCGGCGGGGAAGGCGGAACGAAAAGAGAGCCCAATTTTAGCGGTAGCCGTTAGAGAGAATGTATGAAAACCGCCAAAAATTGGGCCTGACCTCAGGTTATTAAATTTTTGTGGTTGTTATTACCTCCATGATTTACATCTTCCTCTGTTATCATCGCGACTGGGAACATGATAACGAAAATAATGAATAATGTTTTCATGCTTGCCATCTTCCAATCTGTTGAAAACAAAATGATCATGGTTCATAGCATGTCACTGAATTTATTTCGTGGGTATTAAAGAGTTAGGCACGCAAAGTTTAATAACCACGAGTTAGCAGGAGGGGAGGGGAGGGGAGGAAGGAGGTACCTTGGAAAATAAGCTTTGATAGACTGTGCTCGCAAAAGTAGCATGATATGCTACTTGCAGTGCTCGTATTATTTCTAACATTATGCCAATAATTCTGCTAGTTTTAGTAAATTAAGCTCGTTTTAGCAAACAAAATGCAGAAATTATGCTTCTCACTTTTTACTTGAAATTTGTTTAAAAAAAAAGACACCTCAATGCTTCATGTACAATTAAATGGCAAACTCATTTACCCTGTTTACACCAAGAAACTTTAAGAATCCTTAATTCATTGTCTGACAAGTATAAAAACTCAACCAATGAATAACCAACACGCGGACGCCACCTCAGGTAACCGAGCTTGTTATGTCCATAACTTGTGGAGAGAGTCCTGAGTCACTTCCTGTTGGACCCAGGTCCCATGAATGTGACAATAAGCAGACAAAAAAATGATTTCGTTACTTAGATTTGCCTATAACACAGATCTCGGACCAAAAACATTGGTTGCATGTTCAATAAATGACAATTTTTGTACTGCAAAATTATACCAAAAAGTGCGAATTATGCTAGCAGTGCTTTTTTTCGAAAAATAGATGAAAATTATGCTCGTGGTGACTAAATGTGCCAAAAATTATGCTAGTCCAATCTATCAAAGCCTACCGGAAAATCGCGGTGATGCCACGATGCATAATTTCTTAAATCCTTTACCTATATCTCATATATGCATTACCCTGGTCAGGGTAAAAACTGGGGATAAAATCTCTCTCCTATTTGCAGACAATAACGTTAATTATCTATGCAGCTAATATACTCAGAAATTTCTATAGAGGAGTTCCCCCGGAGACGAAGACAGATTATTATAAAGAAGTACCCCAGGGAATTATATAGTCCGTTCGCAGATCACCCTGGCGTTTATTTGATCAAACAAAGTCAATTTTTGAAAAGCCTGTTCAAGCTTTCTGAGCTGGGAGACCGCGGAGACCGAGAGTTGGAACAAAAAAAAGAAAAATAGAAGCCTATTAACCTGCAGTCTTAAAAATACTTCTTTACACTATATCTTTGAAGAAGTTTTCTTTTTTTCGTTTTGCATTTTCGTAAGTCGTGAATACCACATAAAATTTTGAATAATTTATATTTCCCGAGAAAACATGGATAAAATGAAATTTGAATTTGTTCTATGACTTCTTTCCCTTTAAAACAATGCATTTTTTTCAGAGAAAGATCCAAGCAGCATTTTGCTCAGTTGTTTAAGTTTGATTCTAGTTCAAGTTTCAGAAATATTTCAATCACTAAAAAAATCGAATTTCTTATTACATAAAATATATCGTCGTTTTGGGGAGAAAATAATTGTAATATAGATCAATAAAAAATAAAGTAAATAAATAAAGAATGGGCCGGTCAAAACCGACGAGACAATAGAGAAACTCATGGCCATCAAGGTTAACATAAATAGGGACGTCATGAGTCCGAGTATGTGTTCATAAAAAAACAAGTCTCTCGTTAGGCGAAGGGAAAGTCTGCTAAGCTTTCGTCTCGTCGCCATGATCAGTCGGTGTTCTTCTGTGTCCAGTAGTGTCCATGCAACACCGGATATTTTTCGCTCTTTTTTATTTATGTAGCAAATGTCGCTGATGGAGAAAAGTTTTGCATTTTCCGCCGGTTAAGAATTGTTAAAAACATCACTTTCCAGTGAACGCAATCCAATCATTCTAGCTGAAATCATTATCAAAACCGTGCAACGCGGTAAAGCAGAAATAGGAAATTCTGAATGGACAAGGTGATTGATACATCGAAGTACTTCTATGAAACAGCGTGGCGTGAGCGACGAACCGTGCTAACTGTAAAAGGAAGTCAAGTTCGCTTATGCGACGACTGTCAAAATACAAACAGAAACTGGACAATTGATGCATTGACGTGAAACTTAAAAACAAAATGAAGAAATACCGAAATAAAAAACAATGTTAAATGTTTCTTTTCAGACGACATCTGTTATTTGTAGATTCATTGAATCTTCGGAACTTGATGATAAAATATGCAGTTGAAGACGGGAAATTCACAATCGATTAAGGTAACAGTAAGCATGTCTTAGCTATGTTCTTAAACTAGAAATTATTTTGAATAAATAATAAAACAATGATTGGATCCGGATAGACCTATTAACCGCTGAAACTAAGGAAGGAAGGAAGGATGGAAGGAGGGAGGGAGTCGTGCGGATGAGAGCACAACAGACGTGCCCTCTTTACAATATATATTACATGTATTTCTCAAACTAATTAATAATTCATAGCGAAAATTCAAAGGAAATTAATGTTTAATGAGTGTTTGGATATCAGATGAAAAACTGCTCTTTTTTGCATCCTTAATTTCTCCTTCAAAAATGATTTTGTTCGAAGTTCGTCAAAAATACTCCGCTGCGCGTCGTATTTTCAACTCTCTTCTCGGTGTTTCATCTGGTGATGAAACACTGCGTCTCATGTTTGATATATTACATAAAACATGAATAGTTAACATACACTGAAAGTGATGCCGAAATAAACCGGAATATTGCACTCACGCCGGTCATGATTATAGTAAGAATATCACTGAAATAACTAAGAAATAATGTAGGAAAAATCACCCCTCGCTTCCATATCATTCTTGTTATTTAAAAGTTTTATTTTCGCACCTCAGATTTTCCAGCTCTTTTGATCAGTTGTAATATATGTCTCCTAACTTTTGGTGGCTAAAAGAGTTCTGCTGTTCGCTTCTTCAATTGTCTGAGTCGTTTTGCCTATGAAGATCCAAATACGACCAGCAATTAAAACTTAAACAAGATTTAACGCAGGATATGTTTCGATATAATTTCAGGAGGACTCCCATCCCCCAAAAAATTCAAATTCATACGCAAAAAACATTTTTTTGTCAGCTGAGGTGCCAGCTTATCGGGCTGACAAATAAAAATGTTTGACCAAAAACAGCAGGCATGATCTCATTTTTATTACTGACGTTAGCTGGCCATTTGAAAACGCCATCGATCGTGTTGTAATTAATGCTTCATTTTTAATTCCGGTGACTTGTTCTAATGGGTATAAATTGACAAATTCCGCCATCTGGTCGCAAAGAGACAAATGCATTTTGTTTTTACAAACATAGTTTATTAACCCTATGATTGATGTGTCATGGTCATTTTGAGGAAGAAGTGATACAGAGATGAATTTACTTTTCATTCTTTCGTAATTTTTAATTCCTTCTGTGATAACGACAAGTTTCTGTTATTACTTAAAATAGTTCTACGAAACTTAAATTACGCAAGGAATCCTAAGTCAGTTCCCCTCTTTGGAGCTGCGGCATATAGTCTATGAGATAACTAACTGGTCTGTTTGAATCCTTCAGACTCATACATAACGACATCTAAGGGCAAATATAAATCTAGAAGTTCGAGTTTCGACGAAAGTATCTAAAAACTCACTCTTTTATCCAGTAGAAAAAAAAAGGATCTTCGCTTTCTGGATAAGTTAAACTGTGTAATAATTACCTGTGTCACAGAAACATTTTATTGACGAGATAATCACTCACTCGATGAATTCTGAGGTTGGAAGTAACACCCTTGGGTCTGTCTTCAGGGCTTATAACCTTCCAAGAATATCCATATGAAAAAAAGCAAGAAGCCTCAGGTTTATTAATAAAAAGTTATATAGACTTATACATTCGCAAACTTCCGAGGGAGACGTCTGAAAGATGGGTGCTCACACTGTTCAGTGATGTCACAATCCAAACACCGGAAGTGATTTTGATTGGATGATTGTCAAAACATTCGTAGAAATTTTAGCAGGACTGTAGATATTCAGCGGACTGGATGCTCGCGTTGAGTGAGCGTGGATTGCAAAAATTTTTGTCAATTTTAATGGAATTGTATTCATTTAGAGCGATTTTATCAAACTGTAACCCTAAAATAAAACTTTCAATTCCATCGCTAAAATTTTAGATATGACTTCTTTTCTTCTTCAGATGCGAAAAACAGAAGAAATTGACCGATGATAAGGGATGTTTTGAAGATTTCTAAGATATATGACGACATATAAGTCGGTGTTTAGGATTCTACACTAGATGAAAGAACGGAGTAAAAAACGTTTTGGCCAGTTTAAATAACTTTCTATTTTCAGTAACATTCATGCCATCGAATGAAGTGCACATTATTCCTTTTTAATTGACGCAAGATAAAATAAATTCCTTTTGTCTCAAAAAATGCTATGACGCTAACAAACGTTTAAATTCCTATGAAGATGTGAGCGAAATTCTTCCTTTTTAATTCAGGGAAGAACAGTTTGCGCAAATGCAAGGTGTTTGTAGAAGTCCGATAAAGCATTACTCACCCAAAGGATAATTGTATTCTTATATCAGGTAGTAGTAATTGTTCGATGTTATATAAAAAATATCTGTTCTATTTGACTTCATTAAACACACATCTTTGTACATCTTTTTAATTCAGTGACCTTATGGTAGGGAAAAATACGCTTAAATTGTGAAAAAAATATAGTGAAGGCTTTTAAACGTGACCTCACAACCTGCAAACTCCAATTCGTGTTGCGACTCTGCTTACTTAACAACTCAAACCGAACTACTCACGAAGCTAATTCACTGGTGACCAGTGACTCGCCTTGGCATTCAAGTAGAAACAAAATACTAACTACAGTGCACAACGTTATTTGGCCTCACGAAGTCAACTCGCAATTTCCACCACCAACTTTAACACAAAACCCATCGGCGACTTTAATAAAGACTTAAAATGCAACTCATAAATCCAGCATATCTACAAATCGCTAGTTTGGGTATTAAGCGTTTCTTGGGGAAAGGGGTAGAGTGAATCAGAAAAGGTACTTTAACTTTTGGCCGTAACAGATAAATATGTTCACATAAGGCGCAGTGGTGTCGATTAAACGCCGTTCATGATCAAAGTATAAAGATAATCAAAAGGCTACGAAATATTGTAAGTAAAAAACCGGCTTTCATTTATGGTAAAGCGTTTTATACTTTACGTACCTCAGTTTTCAGCTGTTTTGATCCGCTGTATTTACCAACTTTTGGTGAATAAGGTTTTTACGATCAATGAGGATGTTTTATACTTGAACGATGTTGCTTAATGACGCAAATACGTACAGCAATTTTGAGTGAAAGATAACGTTCAACGTGTAGGATATGTTTCAATGCATTTTTAGGAAGATCCCAAATTAGAGCAATTAGACGTTCAAGAGCAAAAAGACAATTGTTAAGACAACTGTTTGTCAGAACGGTGGCGCCAGTTTATTGATTATTGATAAAAATGTTTGACCAACTGAAAAACAGCAGGCATGAGCTTATTTTTATCGCTGACGTTTGCTGGCTAATTCAGAACGCCGTCATATTTATTTCCGGCTTTATCCTAATGGGCATAAATTAAACACATTTCTTCATCTGGTCGAAAAGAGACAAATGCATTTTGTTTTAACTTTCAGACGTACAAGTGGGGGGTGGGGGGGTTGCCTCCTCCGATCCCTCTGAGGTTTTTTTTAGTTTTTTCCTAGACGATAAAACATCAGCACCTGACGTTTTCAATAGCTTTTCTTTTTTCCCTCGTACGCATTTTGAGACAAGTTTAGTGATGGTCAGTTACTATAGATAGGAGATATGATGTCATAAGTAGCAGATGGTCAAGCCATGAGTGAAAATGCATGTTCTTTCAATTTCTCTCAACAATAACAGTAAAGATTGTGGATAAATGCAAAGTGGTTATTTATGTGTTATTTTATATGTCAAGCACAAAAAATACCATTTCTTGGGGTTTTAACCTGAATTTTAATACTTGGTAAAATCTAAGATGGTGGCCAAGGTGGCGACCGTTATTGGTGACGTCACAGGCCTCCAGTAGCGCTACCACTTATAAAATACACCCCATCTTGATCAAAGGCTTTCCACTTGAGGCAAAATCGTTTCAAAATACTGCAACATATCAAAAACTCTACGGAGGGGTCCCATCAATCCCCCCTCCCTTGTACTACGGTGGGGGGTATGAATTTGCGTGCATGTCCGGGGGTCAACAAATATAGAATATTAACCCTATGATTGATGTGTCTTGTTTATTTCAACGGCGAACCGATACAGAAATAAATTTACAGTACTTTATTACAGTCTATACAAGGTGGCTAATAGGGCTATATAAATCCTTCAGACTCAAATTTAAGGACATATAAGGGCAAATAGAAATCTAGAAATTCGAGTTCCGACAAAAGTAGCCACAAACTCACTCGTTGACCCAATCGACCTCACCAAGCAAGTTGTGGCAGCAGCTCAGTGAAGTATTGCGCTGCAAAGTTGATTGATAATTTTGTAAACTAACGCCAGCATCAGTTCTTCAAGCCAGTTAGTCGAAGAGTCCAGCAACGAAGATGAGGATCCACGCTTTCCGGATAAGGCAAGATGTATGATATGTACCCGTTTCACCACCAAAACATTTTACTGAGGCCACATTTCCCCCAACTATTTTATTAATTTTTGTTTCATTAAAATGGTTGAAAGAGTTGTGTAATGCGATCTTGTGGCTCTCCGCTTATGTCCAGGACTGAACACTGGCGCCAAATTTTGTTAGCAAATTGTTTTGGCAATTTTGGCAAAAAAAATTAAATGAACTGTCAGAAATATAGAGAAAAAATAGCAAATATAGCAAAAATAACAAATTCAACAAGGATTGCAAACTGTAGCAAAACTTTGCTACAAATTTTTGTCGCAATTTTAGAAAAAATAGGTTTAATAGAAATTGCTTGCAGAAATCTAGTATTTAAGTCCTCAAAAATCGCAAAAGTAACAAGAAATTTTATTGCACCAAAAAACACCCAGCTAACTATCGCAAGAATAGCAAGAATAACAACGTATATAGCAAACAGATTCGACATATAAAGAAAAAAGGAATTGAAGGCCCTAAAAAAGAAGTTGGCAAATTTCGCAAAAATCGAAAAACTATCCAGAATATATTAATTTTTTGTTGCAATAACAAAAACAACATTAAGTAATGGTCCGCGTAAGAACTAGGCAGGCAGAACGCAAAATCGATTAAAAGGTGTGAACTTTTAATTTTTAATTTCAATTAAATGGTGCGTTCTGATTGGCTGAAATCCAAAAATCGACGAAAAAACAAAGAAAAACGTGACAAAAACAACTTTTTTTAGCTTTATTTTCCCCATTCTCCTGTCTTTTACCTCACGGCCAAGTTTAAGCATTGTTCTGTGCGCCAATCAAAAGTTAGAGCGGAAAACGTGCAACGCGCGCGTGACCTTGTTGTGAACCATCTTGGATGCGATATTCGAGATGTGAGGAAATTTGTCTTTTACCCGAAGAATGTCGTCAATTTCATGGCTGAAATATACATATTTCCCTTTATCGATTGTTTATTGCTTTTATTCAATGTATTTTATCATCGGAGGGATCGTGAAATTCCTACTGCAGCAGCGTTTGCAGCTGTCCTCAACATGTCGTCGAGTGGCCATGTGGACAAGTAGGACCGAAGCACTTGTTTATAAGTATGTTGTCAGGAGGAGATCGCTTTGATTCAGTGATGATTCAGAGTAATTGTGGAGAATAGCTGGGCACAAAGAGTGGAAGCGATAGATTTGTTCTTTATACAGAAATAAATTAAATTTCTTAAAGCGATGTGAAGCCGCCAGATTTGAGCTTGAGGTAAGCTGAACCCAATAAATTTTCGCACCACCGCATGATGTGACTGTGTAGTTATTTTGTTCTTTTCGAAACATCAGAATTCTGTGTATCTTTACTCTTCCATGATTCGATTTGTTTTCATTCTAGGTTCTTTCGTCGAGCGAACGAATTGAAATTTGTGATTGTAATTTCGCAACAGTTGTAAGACGGCAGCCACTTAGTTATCATATATAATACAAATGTAGCTCTCACTAGTTTTGAGTGTTACCCGGTAGGAAAGATAATGCAAGTTTGACTGTATCTGTTGCCTTTACTTTTTCTAAGAATGAAAGTAGGTTTTGCGGAGATATTTAGGCTAAAAATATATCTACCATGTAAGACTGTGAAGAGAGCTTCTTCTGAAACCGAATTCTCCGAACATCCATGAATTTTTTTCTGTATGGACAATCGTCTTTTTATTCAAATGCGGGCCATTAGGATAATCCTCCGACATGATTTTATGAAATTGTTGTTCTTTATGCTGGCAAAATAAAAACACGCAGCTTTGGCGCCTTTGCCATGTGAGCTTGAATTACTCCTGTTTCCGATCACGATTTTGACATTTCCTTTGTGAGAACCGAAGGAGCTGTCTTTCAGGAGGTCGCCGATTGATGTATTCCTGTGCCATTTTCATGTAATTTTATATCAGTTTAACTTTGCTCGGGTTTGGCGCATAGAAATCCTCTAAATTTTAGATATGTTATAGTTTTCAACATATCAGAGCAGTAGACAAAATAAAAAATTGTTTGAATGACTCTTTTGCTATCTTAATTCATTTCTAAAATTCAAATTTCGCGCTTTTCGCCCTATTGACCAATCAGAGCATTCAAATTTAATTTGATTAGAGAAATTAGCACCTAAAAAATAACTGCCGCTATTGCACTGGCCTATTGTTCTTTTGCCTAGTTCTTACACGGACCATTACTTAAACGCTTACAAATATCGCAAGAATGAGAAGAATAACAAATTTAGAAATAATTGTGCGCATGTGTGAGCTGTGACAGTAGCTAATTGTCTTTGAACCAATCGGAAGCGAGTAAGCTGCACGCGAGGAAATTTACATAATTTAAGATTCATTGTTCGCGAAGTGGGTGTCTTCCGGACGTTTATGTTCGATTTTATATTTATGCCCATAATTCATATTTATTCTCTGGTATTCCTCAGGTAAATGTTGCAGATGATAAGAATAAGATTAACAACCCTGTCCTGCTTTGAAACAAACATTTACCTACGTGTATTTTTACGTACCCACGCTAGAAAACCAGTCTCCGATCCGCAAACAAAAATAATTTGTAAACAAACCTTACTGATCTCTCTGTTTACCCTATATAAACTTAGAAATACCTGCAAATAGCTCCTGACCGGTGATCAAAACACACAGTATAGGATGAGGTAAACGTTTTGCTTAAAATGCCAGCTAAATGCGCGCTATGATAAAATAGCCATGCCATGCGGTCGGCTAGCTTCCCGGGGGGGGGGTACTTTAGGAATTTCTGAGTGGGGATGTGCCGCTGGGACCCTGGAACCCTTAACCTATACCAGAGCTAGTTCAGCTGAATTTTGCTACCTTATACTAGAGTAAACTCCCAAATCCCCCATGTCCTAGAGTAGCTGTTTCCCTAGTCTAGATAAAATCCTCAACCAACTGATTAGTTTCCTGAAAAATAATACCCTATTCTAGACCCAAACGCTCTGATTTATATACCCTATCCTAGAGTAAACTGCTTGAAAACCATACCCTTCACAGCGGCACATACCTATATAGCCCATATATGGCAGTGCCCCCCCCCCCCCCGGGGCTAGCTTAGTCGATTGATGCCGGCTGAAAATCGTAGCATTGTTTGAAAGCAATTCTTAGTGCTTCATCATAAAACGTTTTCATTGCAATAGTAGCCGCATAACGTATAAGTATAAAGATTATTCTAAAAGAACGACGCAAAAAAAGGAATAAACAGGAGCCCATAACTATGGCATAAATTTCAACTGCTTATCAGCAAATAAAAAAATTCCTTCCGAGTCGTTGCGTTGCGTGTTCCGCAAAACAAACGTTCTCGATTCAACACATAAAGAAACCAGAAGTTAAACGGAACATTCAGGGAACAATTTATTTTTAAAAGATCAATTCTTACACATCTACGCTCATACAGAAAAGATACAAGGAACATTCCCAGTGAACTACATCAGTAAAGATCGCGCGGCCTGTTATCAGTACTTTCTACTGTACAACTATGGATCGGAGTCATAAATCGAATGCCTGTTAAAACGTTTCATGTTCGATGGTTTGTCTCCTCAAACCTCACACAGCTTCGTGTACAACAAAAGATTGCTTAGTTTTCTCCTTCTGATTCCAGGCACTCGATAAATTAAATTGCTGCAGGCAATCGGAAGTCATGTCGCAGATCAGCTTCACTCGCCGCTGCGTCCCATTAGTAGTCCACGGCTGTATCGAGGAAACCCTTTTTAACTCCTCTTTACATATTTATCGTTTGAAAAATATCCGTCAAAGGTAGATAGTTGACTGGAGAACCTTGATAGACAGAAAT